CAAAACTGACTAATGGAACGCGCAAGCACACAGCATCGACATCTTCATGGGTGTGTCCCACCCGAAGGTGGGACACACTTGCCTGGCTAAATGTATTAGTCTGGCAGAGAGCTGCCAGGATTCTTTGGGCATAGGAGTTCTTGAACTCCTTTACCGTGTTATCTGTTTGCAGCCACAGTCTCAGTTGCCAAGTTCAGGGCACAGGCACAGAAACATTGGCTGCCAATTAGATTTTCCAAATTGAAGCAAGAAGCTCCCGTGGGAAGGGTTTTGAACCCGATCGGCAACTGCACCAGACCTTCTCGATAGATCTCATGACCTGCCAGAGTGGCATAGTACAAACTGATGCAGCAACAAACGCAACAAATGCAACAAACCACTGGGCGCACACATTCCCACTGCCAAGAAGATCCACATGGCATCCCCTCATGCCCTGATAGGAACATCCAGCAGCCATGTCCATGGCACAGTACACACGTCAAAGTCAAGCTTGCACCTTAGGACAGGGGTGGGGTCACAAGGGTCAAAACCAGGAAAGACAAATCAAGAGCATGCTCTAACATCAAGCAATCCAAGCCACGGAGCAGCTGCTCATAAACTGCTCTCTTTGGGGTCCTCTTATAGGGCCACGACGGCAAATGCAACTTGCTCTTGTCAAAGGAGTCGGCAATGGCGACCAATATGTCGCCCCATTTCTGGGCGCGATCCCTCGCCAACCAGTAGCACATGCGATCTGCCCAGGTTTCTTGAAAATGATGCAACAGTTTGTCGCATAGCTTGGCATGCGTCTCAAAGTTGCGAGCCTGGTGAATTGCGCTGCGAAGTGTTTGGCACTCTAAACACATAGCATGCTCGATCTTTCGGCGAATGCCCAAGCAGCTGTCAAGCCACTGCCGTGCAATACCATAGAATGTTGATTTGGAGGCAGCCTTTTCGGTGGCCCCGCTTGCTCGAACAAACGCGAGATACATCAAATACAAGTTTGCAATTGTGCATGGAGGCAACTCTCTGAATGGGAGATCTGTTGGGGAATGTCGACCAGTTGCTGACTGGGGCCTAGGAGTTTGCGATCTATCAATTTCTTCAGAAGTTCTTCCCGGAGCTCTTCTGCATCTGCCCCGTGCTCAGATTGTTGATCCTCCATAGACTTGCTCTGGAACCTCAAATCTGCTTTATCGTCATGTAACTGCTCATGTACAAACCAGAATCCAACAACATGCCTCTTTAAAGCCGCGAAGCTTTGTTGGCATGCTCTCCCCAGCAGAATGGTACAGGTGAGAAAAGAAGTTGTGAACTGATGCACTGCAAACAGCAGCTTGACTGCTAACTCCTCATGACAAACAACTATCAGAGCAAGCAGAAATCAAGTCAACATTGAAAACACTGCCTGCCAAGTCTCCCTGGTTCAGTCGACGAGAATCAAGCCCACGGAAACATCGCTTGGTTCTGCTCAAGCGCTCCTTTCCGATACCCAAGAGCTTGTGCCAAGTTTGCCGGCATACCTTCTCACCTGCGCAACACAGTTACACTATAATAAATCTATTGCATAAGAATATATCCAACCCAAAAAAGTGTGTGTTTTCATACCTCTTTTTCAATGCCACACCTTCAATGAACCATTCGCTTCCAGGGCCAGCCGCGCTTTGAAGACTCCAGAGAATTCCATCCTGGTTTTCTTTTGGTAAGCTCCAAAACCCTTTGCAGAGGCGGACCAAGGGCTTGTAGCTAACACGGCACTGGCATTCGCAGCACGGTGTTTGCAGCAACTTCTTGATGCGCTTTGTGCTCATCCCATTGGTTGCATAGGATGACAGAGGGACATTTTCTTGCAATGTGTGGAAGGACTCGATGTTCTGCAACCGTAAATCAACTTGCTTCGAACCCCTTTCACCATCACCGGCATCACTCTCAGAGCTTTCCAACTCAGAGCTGCTGGTCCTCAGTTGGTTGTTTTGAGCGAGGTGATAGGTGGGCATTAAAGAACAAGACCCCACAATTGGAGCTATGGATCTGAGTGCTTTGTTCCTCATCAGAACTGTCTTCATAGCGCCAAAGTGGCGCTGCAGACACAGGAGCAATATCATCTTTGCTGTCATCATAGCGGCTGAGGACCCCCATCACTCGACCGCGATGATCGACTCGACTCGACAAACGCGTGTGTTGTTGGATGAGTGCAGACTTGTTGAGCTGTAGTATATTATCGAGCTACATGTTGAGTTTGCCATACCATAAATATTATTAATATGCTAGCACTGAACCAAGAACCAGCAGGTACAAACTTGCATCGACCCCATTTGGTGTTCCAGTGTTGATTGAAATTTGGACACGGACTGATTCTTTTCCCCAATCAGTGAGCTGGATTTGCACAAATTGTAAGTTTGAATTTGAGTCTATCAAGCATGCTGAAAGCAGGCCATTGCACGTTCCAGGTTCAAGGCCTTCAGCAAAATACATTGAGCTACGAAGAGAACTCGCACGGACATACCGTTGCCAGCCAAACGGTGAAGCTCCTTAGTTAAGTGGACCATGACCCGTTTGTCAACCATGCGTTTGAGAGAAACATGTTGAGACAAGCTTCACGATCACTGAAGTCAGTCAAATCCAACTTGGCAATGTTGAGCCCCATCAGCAGCAAAGCCTCCAAACCTCGGCCCCGCAGGACTTGGATGAGTGAGTTGGATTGAGCGTGGATTTTTGCAGCTGGGAGACCTGTGAGGAATCTTTGCCTTCTCTTGAGATAGAAGGAGGCCTGTGGCCTGAGTCAGTAGCTATATTCTTTGGGGTCACACTGATGGTTTCCAACTTCTTACAGGACTAGGCCTCCAAACGTGATGCATGGGAAAGGCGAAGTGGAGTTGCAACCAATACTCATTCTACCCAGCATCTGGGAAGTATTCACCACCTCAAACTTTCCTCCAGACCAGGTAGTAATCAGGTCCATAGCCTCAGCAGGACCAGGCTGTGAAAACTGACAAGCTGTTTGTGGAGGTCACCATGTTCAAAGCCGAGACACGTCAAGTTCCCGGCGTGTGGTGATTTGAGCAGCTCCAGCAGGCCAATACTTTTTGAACAACCCAGAGCTTTTGCGCCTGCTCACCTCAAGGTTTGATGCAGTACGGGTCTCGCAATTGCAAGCTTGACTGTGCAACCTCAGGCCTTCATTTTCATAGCCCATTTGCGGTGGATAGCAATCCATCTTTGTTTCGATGACCTAGGCAAAAGTTGGGTGACAGAAACAAACTTAACACAATGCACTGCACACTTTTGAATACTTATGCCAAGGTTCCACAGCGCCCTTGGCCGGTTCAATCTCCTCTGCATGACCTTCTTCACAGTCGGGTGTGTATTTGGAAGCAAAAGGCCACTCCTCAGCTAACTCACTTTTTTCTGGCTGTGAGGGCAGTTCATTATGTCTCACACGATCATGATGCAAGGCACCACTGAGCTTCTGAAGGAAGCAGAAGCTGCTGAGCCCTTTTGTTAGCAAAGTTCTCAAAGTCTTGGGCATCTTCAGAAAGTAAATCCCGCCGAACAAATAGAATGTACACTCGATCACGGCGAATGGGAGCCCCATAAGACTTCCTTGGTTCAACGTCAATCGCATTGGGTACTGTTTGTTCTGCCATGTTCTGTCAGAGAAAGACCACGCCAAGATACGGGTCCAAATTCAAAAGGGCAAATTCATACCTTGGGTCATTGGTGGCTTACTGTTTTATCCATTGCTTGGTTTGTTTTTGTTTGTTGTTGATCCAGACCAAGTGACTTCTCCCCAAGTTCTTTGTTCATCAAAGGCTCCACTTCAGGCCAGACCTTCATGAAGCCCCTCACGTTCTCCATCAATCCACACTAGGATTTGGCAAAATACAAAGGAAAGAAGAGTCTTGGGAAACATCATTGCAAATCTCTTCCATCTAAGCGACGGCGGCTCGAGACTCGCGGATGTTGCGGAAAACAGCATGCAGCGGCTTCGCGTTCTTGTCTTCCAGGCGACGCCGTTTGCCAAGACCAGAGTATGGGGTGCATGGGAACCCTGATGCATACATTGCCACCTGCACAGCCCAGTTTTCCGAGGCAACATCTTGAAAACATGTTGAAGGAACAACAACAAAAAAACACACAGAGAGCACACCATAAAAAATACTGTGCCTTTCCCTTCAAGCGAGAAGGATTCACATCAAAGATGTCGTGGTTGGCCCTTGTGCGTGAGACAGATTGCAAACAAGTACTCCCCCAAAGGCTGCGTCCAAGTTGCTGCAAGGGTTCCTCCATGTTCTGCTCCAAGAACCGTCTGGCAGTTGGATCCCTCTCGCTGTTGGACCTAAGTTACCCGGTGTGATCACCATCCGGACCTAAGTTGGACCAGTTTCAAGTGTCTTGAGTCTTGAGGTAAGGAGCTGATAGCTGATCAAATGCCGCTTCTTGCCAAACAAGTCCTTCAATGCCAGCAAAGGTGTATCCATACCACTGCCTGAGCGAGATTTTTCCTGGTGGCGTTTGGAACTATTTGTGTTTAAATTTTAAAGTACATCCAAGTTGCAGTCGCTGGCATAGCCAAAGGAGCAGTTCCATTTCCTGAAGAATTTTTGTAGGCCTTGGGCTGATGAAATGCACTGGGGACAAAAAGAAATAACTACTGGCATCTAGCTTGCATGCAAGACACCAGCTTTCTGGATGAACTCTTCAGCGCAATCCAAATAGTCTTGATGGGCACCTCCCAGGTCCTAAAGAACAGTTGCAGTGAGTTTGGCAAAAACCTCTTCAAGGCTCTCCTCTTCGTCAGATGAGATCTCCCGCCAAACAACCATGGCAGCTAGGGATCTTGAGCCCACAACTTGCTGACAAACTGACAACTGTCCAATCCCTGGTTTCATTCTGGAGAAGACCTGGTTGCAGTCGGAAGCCGATTTATATATTATCATGTTCTATGTTTCATTTCACCGGGTTCCCAAGGAAAACACACCTGGCCATGCTGCCTTCCGACTGACTCATGCCCCAGCGTCTGACAGTGGATATTCCACGGATTTCAGCTCCAATGCTTCGCGAGCCGCCGCCGCATCCTCCTCGGCGCCGTAGATGAGGAAGGTCTTCCACGGCGCGTCGTCGTCACCGGCGAGGCGAATCTCCACCGCGAACTCTTTCCTGGGAGGTTGAGGTGGAGGGGCCGCAGGGGAGGATGTTGGGACAGATGGAGAAGTGGAGCACATTGCTGTTGGGACAGAAGTGAAGAAAGCAACATGTGGTAAAGTCTTCTGAAAAACCTTGCTGCACACCCATCACACTGGCTTCCTTGATCAACACGTGATGACAGATATTGACCATCTCTTCCATTGGAGGAAGCTGGTGTGACTTGGAGACAAGGACCCCCTTTTTAGATTGTACTATGCCTTACTATGCATCTATGAGATGTAAGGCACCAACAAAAAACACAAAGAAAACACCAAATGTCCGGGCAGCCGAACTGCGTCCCCAAACAGTGCGTCTTTCCACTGCGTCGAACGAGCTCTCTAGAAGTCTCTACCACCTGCCGCTTCGCCACGCGTCACCGCGCCGAGCCACTCGAGGCGTTGCACGCGTTCGCCTCCCCGGCCACAGGTGCGTCCGACGAGGCCCGAGGCCACCTGGAGCGGACGAGGTGACCGTGGCCTGGGTGCGACCGGCCTGGCACTCAGTTAGTTTGTTAGACAAATTACTGATTAATTCGAGAGTCTGTAGCGACCACATGACTAACCACATGTTGTTTTCTGGGGAGAGCATAGGGTACTATCACGAACCTGCGTTCTTGTGTTTGGCCGCGAATTCAAAGTCCTGAAAACACGAGATACCAACTCCCCAAACAAGGCATGCCACGCAATTCTTCAACTTTCACGAGCAAGCATCATCCAACAACAAAAGGCCTTTCCAGTTCGTCCATCCCTCAAAATCTGTCGTCCAGTTCCGGACCTCCCCGCTACAGGTACCACCCCGCTGCAGGTCGACGCCGACCGAGAAAGACGCCTCCAACACAGCCGCAGCGGCTTCGCCGGAGCTCTTCGCTTCCAGCTCCTTGGCGAAGGAAAACGACGCCAAATCTCGAGGGCAGCCGGGGGGTGGACCTGAATGTTGCGCCAAGGGGAAGACTCCGAAGGACCGAGTTTCCTGTCATCTGCCCCCCCCCGTTTCAATCTGTTGATTGGACAAAACCTGGGAAGGCCATCTATGCGTTTCGTGCCCGCCTTGAGCAGTGCCAACTTCTTGTTTCGCCGCCGGTGGAAGGCTTCCACCTGGCCCAAAACCGAGCGCATCCAAGCCATGCACCCTGGGTCATTTCATCACTTGAAACTCTCATCTGATTGGTGGTGCTTGAAAAGTATCAGTCAGTGGATTCAATCCTGCCAAGTAAAGGTTGAATATAAACAATCTGAAACCACCACCCAGTCAGACTGTGATGACAGGGGGTGTTGAGTCCCTCCAAAATGTTAGAATCGAGGTAGCCAGGGTAAAGCTCAAACATTCCCAGCTGACGATAGCAAACTTCACCCCATCCACTGCCATCCACCCTCCAAACAAACAAACAAATGACAAAGTCCAACCGGATGTCAGGTCTTTGGAAAACTGGATGGTCCCCAAACACACTGATGGCATCGTTGATGTTCTCCAAAGGAGTGGTGCGAGCCAGTACCTTCTCGTTTGGCTGGCTTGCCATTCTCGACGTGCAGCAGTTGATTCTGAATTCCCCCCAATAAGAAAGAACTAACATCCACCATTCTGGATGAAGCGACGGAGAGGGAACCCCTTAGAAATACTCCAACTCGGACGGTTCCCACCCGCTCTCACATCGGGAAAAAGACAGACCTTCGGCACCTGGAAAGCAGCGATGGGCGGAAGGGGAAGGGGAGGGACTGATGTGGTGGAACCATGTGGAACCTAAGGGCTCACTGAGACAGAAACCACATCCTGATCCCATCCCGGTCCTCAGAAACCACATCCTGCCGGACGATGTGGACGAAGTCAGCGGAGGCGCGTCACGCGATGCCGTGCGCGCCTCCGCTTGGTGCTGCAAATGGATCTTCACAACCTCGGATTGGGGTGCCAAATGGGTGCGGTGTGGGTGATGGTCTCATCAAACACCGACGTCGAACGAAGAGATTCCTGAACATCCATGAGCGTAATATATTACAGTAATATTTGTTGAGCAGCTGGGTGCTTGATGTCAGGGGTTTGTGATGGTTTGTGAAGAAGTTGAACTGAATGATTATTCTTCCCCTCGCACCCAGCCGGAGCCTAACTTCCTCAACCTAAGCTTAGAGTATACTGTAAGGCAAGGTAGGCAAGGAGCCCTATACAAATGCAATTCATTCAATTCAGGTGTCATAGAGCGCTTGTTTGTGCGCTTTTGTGTGTTTTCGCCCAAGCTTTTTCGATCCCAAGATGCCATCTGCGCCTTCTGCGTTGCTTCTTCACTTCCCAGCAGGATGATGCTGTCCAGTTCCTCCCGCCACAGCTGAGCACATGTCAGGGGGCAACCATTGGAAGGCTTTTGGTTCTTTTTGATAGGTTTTTTTGGAAGGATTGCTGTGGAGCAACCTTTGGTCACGAGTCGATTGGAGTGTCTTTGCTGTCAGCAACTCCTGCGTGGGCCTCAAAATCATCAATTGGTGCTGCGCTCCCTCTCTCTCTCTCTCGATCGAGGGAGTGCAACCTTAATTTGATGCAGGCAAACTCTGTACCCTATAGGGCTCCAAGTGACTTCTGAGAAGGTGTTTGGGGTGGGTTTGGAGGATTCAAATACCTTTTGAGTAGGCACTTGGAGCGCTAGGTGTATGCGCTAGGTGTATGCTAGGTAACTGGCAGAACCTGGACGACATACTGTACGGTGTTTTTTCTTCAAAAGCCACTTGCGCTACCCAAGCACTGATACAGTGAAAGCTTGCTTGATTTGAGACTCGAGACCAGGTGAGTGGTAAGGGGCTTTTGATGGCTTTTGGAACATCAAGGATGCCACATTCTGATTGAATGGTATCCTTTCAACGAAAAACGTTGACAAATCAAGACTCCCACAGTCAGGGTTGGTGGTGGTCAGCTCAGTGGAACAACCATCCCGGAAAGGTTGAACATCAACATGTCCCTGGACCTTCAAAGGGGTGTCCAATGGAGATCCCTAGGTAGTGTAGGGGCTTCCATTGGTGACCCCTTTGAAGGTGCTGGTCTGAGTGAATTCTATAGGAATTTCATCTTTGCATGTCAACCTCGTTTCGGCACCCCAGGGTTCTTCGCTCGTTTCGGCACGCGCGCGGTGGCTTTGCACTCCGCGGGGTCCTGGACCACTACGCCGTTGCCTCCGGAGGGGCTTTGCACTCCGGGCGTGGCCAAGTGCAGCGCGCTCAGCGAGCGGATTTGCTCCAAGCAACCACCTGGTGAGGTCGTTGGAGTGGAGGTCACGGTCGTTAGAGTCACATGTCGAGGGTGCAAAGCAGGGGGGCTTGGACAAACCTTCACCTTTGAGGGGCCCCACAGGATCCCATAACTCTTGGGGTAGGCCCATGATCTGGAGGGGGTAGCGATCACCAAAGGCTGCGTGGCCTGCACTGTTGGTCTTGTGTTTCTGGAGGTGACGAATCGTGATGACTCCCAAAAGGTCGAGGCAACATGCTCAACGACCTGATCAACTCAACTTGAGGCGGTCATCTGGAATTTTGCCATGTTCATTAATGTTCCCATATTTTCCTCACGAACCACAGAAAACAACAACAGCAACATCATTCCCCAAACCCCAAATTTAGGGGATTCACCGTGATTCACCCAGGCTTCCCCTGCCCGGAGCGGGCCCCTCGTGGCCCGGGGCTCCGGGCGGCAGTCGCTTAAGGAGAGCCACTTCCGCAGAGCCGGTTCCACCTGGTTTTGCCGGGCCGAAAGGCCCATGGGATCCGTAAGCAAACGCCAACACCGTGGGACCCAGGTGTTCATCGGTTCCAAAGGCAGCTGAAGGGAAAGGCTTATAGCCAGCTGAAGGAACAGAAGGCTTCCAGCTTCCAACAAGGGGTTTCTGGTGGTTTCTGAGTCCGTCGCTAGCTGATCCTCAAAAGAACAAATGCCCTAAACCCTGAGCTTCAATGGTTTCCTCCTTCAAGAAAACCATTATATACAGTAATAAGCGGCCATGTAGAGTATATAATGGGGCAAAAAGGTCAAACAGTAGCCAAAGAGAATTCACAGATCGATGAACAGCACATCAAACAAAAAACCAAACAACCTTTAGGGCTCCAACCATATCCTTAGAACGTGGTTAGATCCCCTTGGCACCCATCCCAACCACCGAACCGAAACAGAGGTGGGGCAGGAGCCCAAACGGGAACATCCACCCTGAAGCGCACGACGCTCCGGGCGAGGAGCCTTTGCGCCGGTCGGGCGTTCGACCACGGTCGCACCCCGGGAGCACGGGGGAGCACCCGCCTCCACGGCGACGCGTGTGAAGGCCAAGGGGTTCAAACTCATCTCCTGACTCTTGGCCCGGATGGCCTGGCGAGATCGCAAGATGAGACGAGAGCACAGGCATGGAAGAAAGACGCATCCTCATCCAAGAAAGCGGCCCCGTTGCATGAGCATTTTCCACAAACAGGATCAAACAGGCAGTTGTTCCCTTTCATGGCTCTTCTTGGCGTAAGATGCTGTGTTGAATCAAGTTGCATCAAGTTCCAAACCTGAACCGGACGGTGTGACTGGTTCATGCATCATACGGTGACCAGGACCTCGGGACCTCTAGTGACCTCTAGAGGCTGGCTCGTGCTCGAAAGCGCCCAGGGACCCAGCAGGTTCTTGGGGTTTTGTGACACCTTCTTCTTGAGGCTCGAGTTGAATGAAGCTTCCCTTTAGCCTCCGAGCAGTGCCCATGACACACCCTCCGGTCGATGGAAAAAGACGTTCGACAGGCCGCCGCTGCCGAGAGCTGCCGCAGCTTTGGTGGGCTGAATGGGAGGCGTGTGTATAAGGAAAAAGACTACAGTAGTCACACAAGCAACCCTAGCCGACACCCACACACAAAAAAAACTCTTTACTCTTTCATGAAGTGAAAGATCCAACGTCGCTTCCTGCGAAGCAAACGTGCCACTTCCGAAGCTGTTCTAGCTGAAGTCGACGCCTGGGTACAGTTGATTCCCCAATCCAGGAACTGGAATAAAGATCCCACCCAACAGTTCCATACCAACTCGATCACTCGATACCACCACTGTTCCACGTCACTCGATCTTCACTGGGTCCATGGTCCGGTGACCCGACCGGTCCCCCCGGCCGAACGCTTCGGACCGAACACGGTGGGCGGTCGGCAGGTCGAATGCCTTCGGGTGGTGCATGAAAGACCTGCCTTCCAATAGCCCGCCAGGAAAATGAGGCGTGGATCAATCACAGAAAGCAGCGCAAATGAAACCCCTAATAATCCCTAATATACAAATCTAACTATAATATCTTTGGCGACTTGGGGTGTCCAGTTTCACCGGGTTTCACCTCGGCTTTACGCTCGCTTCGCTCCATCTTCGATGGTTCCCGCCGTCTTCACAGCCTCGCCTCGATGGGCACGGTGACTTCACCCTGCCCCGAGACGTAGCATCGAGCGACTTCACCTGACTCCTGGGCACACCGTCCCAAGCGGCAGCACTTCCACGACAAGACAGTAACCGTAGGGCGACTTCACCATCTCCTCGGGTTCAGTGTTAGACCCCCCCCATATCCTTAGAACAACCTTTAGGGCTCCAACCAGATCCTTAGAACGTGGTTAGACCCCCCTGGCACCCATCCCAACCACCGAACCGAAACGGAGGTGGGACAGGAGCCTTAGGGCTCATGGAATGCAACACACACAACCACCAAAGTCGTCCCTTTCAAACGCTTCCAGCTTGGCCAGGAAACTTCTGCTCTTTCAGTCTCCCCAAGGGTTCGGCCACTCCCTCTGGGCGACCCTTGGGAATTGTGGATTGAGCGTTTTCATGGTGTAATCCCCGAGGTCGGTGGTTTGGTAGTGGACCCCCCCATCATACCCAAACACTCCATGGGACTGCCATATATGCCGATCAATTGGGGTGGTTTGGGGGGGTCAATGTAGGCATATATGGCCCTACATGGAGTGTCTGGGATATGATCTAACCAGTACTGGTGCCAGTGCCCCTCGAACCTCTGAAACCACTGGCCTCCTCACCCTGTTCACCCCCCCAACTCAGGACCTCTTCCTCCAACTCACGACCTCTCCTCATGGGCCACCATCCACGCCTGGCACCAGCATGCTGGACACTCGGACGTGGCCAGGCGCACCTCCACCTGAAGGGCGCGGCTTTTGGTGCGGTGCCCTACATGGGACTGGAAGATGGAGACCATCCAAACCCTCCAAAGACCTCTGAAAATTGGTACAAGCACATCTTTCGACCAGGACCCCCAAGGGGTGGTTAATGGACACGCCTCGGCCTCTTCCGGGCTATTCATGGACACCCCTTAGATGGTCCTGGCACTAGGGTCATGTCATGTCCCATGTTCTAGGATACTTGAAGTCGGGTCCAGGTACCTACATTGAGTCTTTTCAACCACCCAAGCTGGTTGGGAATATGCCAGGTGACAGGTGCATCCTTTTCGTAGGCCAACCCGTCCCCGCCTCCGCGTTCTCCACGAAAGAGGTTCCTGCTGCACTCTTGGCTCGTGGGCGAACGTGACTGCAGGGCACTTCCCGTGAGGGCCACACGCCCTTGTCGAAGGCCACCCAAGCCTCTGCACGTGTTTGGTTTCTGCACGTGTTTCAGCTGGGTGGAAGATCCGCAGAACGTGAATATGCAATGCATCTTCCGACCTTTTTCTCGGCTAGCCCTGTTGGCCGCGGTATTCCGCTGCCAGCGCAGCTGTTCAGAGTGGCTGGACACCTGACATGTCATCTGCAGCAGTGCCAGCCATCAAAACAATGCGCCAATGTACAGCGCAGGCTTGAGGACGGAGGTGGGCCTGACTCGACAATATTCCTTCTCGGCCCAATGGCGAATTCTGCTGTTGCCAAACTGCCCCCGCCCCACATGCTCTTTAGAACACGCTGCTTAAACAAGTGTCTTGAAACGATCAAAGCTTGGACACTAAATGAATTATATTGCGGCATTGCATCGCTTAACTTCAAAACCTCAGCCACTGCCATCACTTCCACTTCAGGCACCTCCCAGCTTCCTCTCCTCCCCCAGCACTTTCCCAGCATCGGCTGCTTCAACTTTCAGCTCCCAAAGCAACGGCTGAAGCCGCGGCATGGCTTCCCGCTGATGCTTCGTTGGCCAGGGGTGCGGAAGATGAAGACTCCTTGATGGGACGTGTTTTCGGGTGGTCCCATCATATATGCCGCCCCAGACAGACCCCACCACCCCAGGCCTGATCGGCAAATATCGCATACATGGAGTGCAAGATCACCAACTTACCATGTACTGCATACTGCTTCCATCATTGGCATTCCTCAGCCCCCTCCGTGTTCGAAGTGGCAATGGCATGTAAAGGTACATTAATGAAGTTCATATAGGTCAGGGATCCTTCAGTCTGGTTTTCACCCAATCATCCTGGAACGAGAATTCCGGGGGGGTCAAACACGGAGTTCTATCTGGGACCTTCCAATATCTTCCAATAAGCATCGCCATCACACTATGCATCACCGACGCTCGCAGCTCCCTATGCCGACACGGATGAAGAAGCCTGTCTGTAGAGCCTGCAGAATCTGCCTACTTCGAAGATGATTGTAACAATGCTCCGACGTTTCCCGGGCATCAAATGGCATCAACCAACCTCTTCTTGCACCGATTACGTGAGGAACGAACAGGAACCACCTCAGCCTGGATTGGTTTCGTGGAGTCATTGCCACCAAACAAGAGAGTGGAAAGCATGGACATGGCGGTTTGAAGCCGACGTCACCAGCCACTACTACCCGCCGCGAAGCGGTCGGACGGCTCACCTATGCTCCAGTTAGACCGATCCTTTGGGGTGTGGAGAAAAGGGGCAAGCGCCACCCAAGCACCAACCACCGGGCGTGACCGTGGTTGCTATGTTTGAAGCTGACAGTGATGCCCCTGAGACATGTCTTCCACCCATGTCTTCCTTCCCAGCTCAGGCATGCTAAGGCCGTTGGCTACAGTAGCCGTTTCTCATTAAGCTTCTGCCAAGTTTCTTCTCCACCCAGTCAGCCAAATGCACAGCTCCACTGGGTTCACTCTTCAATTTCTCCGCCAGCCCCGCGGCACGCTGAGCGAGGAAGCGGTCGTTGGACAGGCGGAGGAAAGCACTGACCAACATGTCCTGCTGCTGAAATTGGGCAGTTGCACCCGGTAACCCGAAAATGGACCACACTGGCTCTAAACATTGTTCCTCTTGAGCCCCCTACAGTCTACAGGCTTTCACTATTTACACGATGTTTCGCTGCTTCACTTACCGCGGTGCTTGGCGTGTGGTGTTGATTGGCTGGTTGATCGTTTGGTCGGTGGCTTGCTTGCTTGATCTTGCTTGCATGGTTGCGTGGTGTTGGTTGCTTCTCCTTTTCCATCTTTCCTCCACCTTTCTCCCACCTCTCGCGTTCTCTCGGGACCTTCCTCGTGGTTCCTCGTGTTTGCGAGCTCCGTTCGCGAGCTCCGCTCGAGACCAGTCCCGAGTCCCGACCGTGACGACGCGTCGTCGACCGATGTGAAGGGCAACTCGATGTGTGGAGAGTGGTGCTTTTTTCCCCCCCAAACAGTCCTACAGAGGTTAAGTGACCTTACAGGACCCTACTGGGGTACCTATAGGATAGTCTATAGGGTTCTTCAACCTCTGCTGGGTGTGGGCACACTTTTTGGGGTTCTTACGGTAGGTGAAAAGCAGCTGTGCTTAGATCGCTGTTTTGTTATCCATGTTTTGTTCACGGTGGTTTCAAGCATATTCCAGGCACTGCACATGCACGGATCTAGAGGGATCTATAGGGTCTTTTTGGAACACCGACGCCAAAACGTCCTCATCCACCTTGGAAATGATCTGCTGGAGATTGATACCCACCTCCAGCTTCCTTGGATCTGAGGTGCCAAGATCCTTTGCCTATCTGGGGAGGTTCCAAAAAAAATCTGGAAAAAGGATAAAAAAGGCCAATGAACCAAACTCTAAAACATGCCAATCCCGTATCAATCAAGTGTTCCAAGTGTTTGGGATTCATCAAATAGCATCACAAGACATCCTCGGCTAACGTCAACTTGTTGAAAACCAGCCAAACAATGAACACAAACAAAATTTGAAAGATGGCAAAGACTTGGAACCAGCCAAATATTCAACAAATCCGCCAACCAAATCCCCAATATGGGGCCCACTTTTTAGCAAAGCAACATCCACACATTCACCTGAACACTGAAACACTCCTCCTGCTCCTCCTCCTCATCATCATCACCCAGGACCTTTAAAGTCAGACACCAAGACTTTCACTTTGAGCCGGACTCCAACGGCTCTTGGACCCCACCTGACCCCATCCTCCCCATCCGCCACACGCCCAGTGTCTCCATGTATTCGGCCCACCAAGGCTGATCCCAGGCCACCGGCGCGATAGCTCCCGGGATCCCCGCCAAGGCCACAGCGCCTACGGTGTTGGCGCCGCCATGGTAGAGAGCACCGCAGCAGCGGGGCAAGAGCCAAGCGTGGGGTGCCTCCTCCAAGTGATAGACGTGGGCATCCGCAAAGGCTTTCCTTGAAATGCGGTGTTCCGTGTTTTGGTGGTTGGGCCGTGGTTTGGGGCCAAAAGAACCAGACTTGAAGGGCGATAGAACCCCAGATCTGGTGATTGAGAATGATTTGGATAAAGGTTTCCCCAGTTTCACCCACAAAAAAATATAGGCCTTTCGCCAGGTGTTATGGGGTCTGTATTTTGAGCCGTTGGGAGGGTGCAATGCTCTGGACCGAAAACTAAGCTGCCAGTTGATTCTCCAGGTCTCAGTTCTTCAAAGTCCTCCGCCTGCGAATCCAGGCAATGAGGACCAATCCCCGCCCATCCACCTGCCATGACGCAGCGGACGCCTGCCTTCTTCACTGCTCGGAGGAGCTTCTCAGTGGCCTGACCCGGATGGCCCACACATAAGGAGCCGAAACCCACCTCGGCGAGGAGATCATGCTGCGTCCGTGCTGCGTCAATATGCCTTTCAGATCTTACAGGAGAGTTGAGATCTGAAAGACCGCAAAAAGAACAGAACGGTGCCACACTTTTAAAGATGTATGTTCGGATCCTGATGGAGACGGAGTATGCAAAGTTCACAGGGAGTTCCCTTTGTCTGCTGCAAGATTTTAATTTAAGGTCTGTCAAACATCTCAAATCCCCCTCAAATGCTCCATCTAAGCAAGCATGCCCATGGCCTACGTTCATCACTGATTCATCACCAAACCACAAAGTGGGGCTTCCAGATTGACTTACATGAAAGGACCTGGGCGTTTTTTTGAAGTTCTGGAAGAGGTCTTACCAGGAGTCACAAAGGGGTGGTGTTTAGTTGCCAAGTGGATCATGGGCACCCCTAACCTCCATTAAGCACCCCTTTGTGACTGCTGGTATGGCAATATTCAGTTGGGTCCGATCACAGGTCCACCATCCCATTGGACTTGATGAGTCATGAGTCGTTTGGGCACCATCTCGCAGGCCTTCTACAAACGCGGGTCTTCTTGAAGTTGGGCCTTCCTACAGTAACAAGTCAATACACAAACAAGAAGCACCAACCAACGTAAAACACAAAACATCTGAATGGCTGCGGGTCAAAATAAATCCGGAGCAATGCCAACGTGACCAGAAAGTAACATCAATGCCGATCTGTGTCGTTAGTTGCTACTTGCTGGTGCTCTTTGACCCCCAGCCACCGCTAAAGCCGTGACAGCCACATATACAGGTTTCTCTTCCCCACAAGCACTCAAGAAGGCCACAAGCTCCGGTGGAGCATCGTAGGAGAGAGAGGCGTCTGCCAGGTAGCCCGTCTGCTGGGCATAGGGAAACTGCTCTTGAAAACCCAGCGGTTCCGGAAGCAAGGCGCTGCTCCTGGGATCGGCGCTTGGCGAGGGTCGAGGGTTGGCAAGCTGTCCTTCCATGTTAGTGGGTCAGAGTGCAAAAAAAATGAATACATCCAAAGATTGGCCCGGGACATCCGGGCATGAAGAAGCGAACATCGGCAAACAACTAAGATATCACCTCTGAGGCAGTAGGCAATTATCGCTCTTCTTTTTGTTGGTGGGGTGGTTTGGATCGTAAGCCTTGGCTGATGTGGGGAGTGAAGTTGCATCAGCCTCATGGCCACCCATCCTCTGCCCAATTCCACTAATTATAGGATGTCTGACTTACACCCCCAATCTTCTTTGGTGACCCACCTGGGTCCGCAAGTCGCGCAAGTCGCTTTGCGTGCAAAGCCAAAGGTGTTGGAAGCTTTGTTGGACCTGAATGATTCCAACACGTCGAATGCAGAAAAAGTAAACAACACATCCTGCACAAGGAGATGTGGACCAACCTTGAGGGAGTCCCATAGGAGCACTGTTGAACAATTGTGTCCACGAAGGGTACGAAATACTATATACTTCATATCCCCCCATATAAGCAGAACTCTGTGTACATTAAGCTATATATAACACATCATGTGTATATATATATATATCTATATCGTATATATCTATATATTCATACCGTCCTCAATCACGGTGAAACACATGCACCATCCGCAACCAGGCACCAAGGAACTCAGGAACTCATGATGTGCAGAATATCCC